CTCCAGAGGAGACTGCGACCTGAACGCAGCGCCTTAGACCGCTCGGCCATCCTGACACACATAGAGGTTAACCCCTTGATGATAAGATCTCAGTAGTAATTAGCAGCTGTTCTTTCTATTGTAATGACTTGGTACAATAATACAGTGTAACCAAAGACAGGACTGAAGCAAAATCCCTGGAACTGAATCAGTTAGAGCCCATTCACACTGAGCGACATGGTGAATTGCGCGTTTTTCCGTGCTGAGCGGCATTGAGTTACAATGCTTGATATTGAGCAACAGCGCACATTTTATCTCGCTAAGTGGTGCGGCTTTTGGGAGGGACTTCGTCGCTGCTACATTGGGCTGTAACCAATCAACAGTGGTCTTGATGTGAAATCATTCTTTCTTTCCATTTTGCAGTGCAAAAGTGGCCCTTCTGTAGCGCGACATCGCGCGACACGGTCGTGCAATATCGCCGGTAATACACGACTTTGCGTGACACCATTGAGTCTATTGGGGCCGAATCGCGCACCATCCTCCAAAAAAAGGGTCAAGTTCGAGCGACGAGCTAGAGGCGACATTGAGCTGTGAGATGTGAACAGCTCCATTGAAATGCATTGGACAAGCTACATAGAGCGATATCGTGCGGAAATATGCACGATTTTGGAGCGGAAATCGTGCGACAAACCACTCAGTGTGAACGGGGTCTTAGACCTGAGTCCTAGGCGGTTGGCGAGTTTGCCTAGTGGCAGTGCCGTCCCTTATACCACTGCACTCCTTGACAGTCAAGATACATGGAATGTATCAAATGTATGTGAATAAATGTTTGGCCAAATGTTTGTCAGACTTGGTCAATGTTTTTAGAAATAGACTAACTTTAGAAAAGGAAACACCACCCCAGATGGGACTTGAACCCACAATCCCTGGCTTAGGAGGCCAGTGCCTTATCCATTAGGCCACTGGGGCTACTCGGCTACTGCTCACTGATGCTCTCAAACATGAGTATCTCTCTTCATCTCACAACCCAAGTGCTCCTGTTCACAGAATTCCACAAAGTTGATATCAAGTCAAATTTCCATTAATCATTGTTAGTGAATACACAGTAGAATTTATTGATTGTTTTTATACATATCTTTCCAGATTTCAGCTTTAAAACATTTTTGCAGCCCATAAGATGCTTTGATTAAACATTTCACCTGCGTGGTAATCCACAATACTTTATTGCAGTGGAAAAGGAATATTTCTCTTGAGAATTCTGTATTTTCTTTCTGAACTTACAAAATCGGAAATTGTTTCCCTGTGATTGTTTAATAGAATTTAATGTTTTTAATTGGGTTTGTGTGGTTTAGATCTCAACGAAATTATGACATAACCCTCCTAATGAGGCGGCAATGTTCTTCATCAAAAGCTTTTGCCCAAACCCAGGATCAAACTAATATTTACAGTACAGTATTGACTTTACTATTTATAAGATCCCCAAAACTATGTATTTCCCTAAAGCAGAGGACTTAAAAAATAAAAACCTGGTAGTCTAATTTTTTTCTAATATTGAGTGTTGTCCTTATAGTTCTCATCTATTACCATAAAAAAGGTCACTCCTTTGAAGACAGTCAAGTACACAGGACTGGAGGGGGCGTGGCTGGCAATTGAAGTGAATGGAACCATAGCCACTCCCCCCGACGGCAATGCGATCACCCGCACGGGATCGCAAGGCACATTGTGCCTGCGGTGCGGTCCGTGTGGGATCGCAAGGCACAATTGTCCAGTGCGGTGCGATCAAAATAGTGCTTTGCGGCCGCACTGCATATGGTGTGAACAGGCCCTTAAAGCGGTGTGAAAGAGGCCATTTATGTAAAAATTGAGAAGCCAAGCTTGAATAGAGGTGGGGGGGGGGGGGGGGG